CGCAGTGCTTGTTGACGTTCCCGCATGTACAGCGGTGTGCCACACACACCCCTTTCGGGGCGACAAATGGATTGAGAGCATGGAATTCACACGTAGAGGTAGTCCAAGTCCACGAACTTTTCAGCTCTTTGTTTGGCTTGTTTGTGCGGTGCCGTGAGCAGGTGGATTTCCCATTGTCGCACTGTTCTGGAAGCAATCCTGCAAATTGGACAGGCGAGATATCTGTCCTCCGTTGGGTGGCATTTCATCTTCTTGACCTTCCCGTACTTGTGATGCTTCCGATGTCGATTGGGATTTGGACACGATCTGCTTCTGGGTGTATGGTAATCATCCCGTTTTTGGTACTTCAGGAGCATGTCTTGCACCCGCTTGGTGCTCTCCTCGTGACTCATCACATACTCGAAGTCCGCCCTGGTCTGGATGTAGCGGGAGTGGTACATGATCTCGTGGCTGGTCATGGGATCGTGTTGCCGATGTTAAGAAGGCACGGGTAGCAAGGTGATGGGAACAGCTACTCTTTATGCAAAGCAGCTGCACATGACGATCACAAGGCAGCAGATCAAAGAGAATGTTACATCGACTTACGGCTCCAGTCTCTTTCGCTCAACAAATGATTCGGACACACTAGGAAGACATTGCACAGACACTTGACGCTCAGCATCGAAGGTAGCCGTTTGACGCTTGTTCTGTGGTTCATCTGGTCGTGGAATAACCCTGTGTGAAACTGCGCCGAACACTGATTGTTACACGTTTTGGCGCAATTGCACACTCTCTCAAAACTGAAAGATGCTCTGCATGCGTTAAGGTCTGCGTCGGTGGTGCATCTAAGCCGCATGTTCCTACTCAGCGCCCATAAGGTCTGATGTCAGTGGGGGATGGGGTTGAGGATATTACGGTCTGCACGTCGAGCATGGTTTGAACAACATCTCAACCTCTGCCTTCTGGTAGGACTTGACGTCTTGCTCGGCTGAATTGATTATCTTACCGCATCCTTTGCGATGATAGATGGTGCTCTTCTTGGTGACAAACACTACGTTGGGGTCCACTTCGTTGTTGAGGTTTGGGTGAGTGCGAGTGGACATCCTGGGTTTCGGGTCGAGGTCGATGGGTTTGTCACCATGGCAAAGAGGGGCGAAACCCTTGTAGTCGAGGAAGCGGGTGTTGGATGCCGATGCCGAGCCTGGGGTAGTGGCGCGTGTGGAGTCTGGATTGCCTTCTGTTTTGACCTTCTTGGACGCAGGGGGATCACGTTGCTCTTCAGGCTCTCCGAGGGGTCTGTGGCCGTGTTGGAGCCTTTGAATTGCACATGATGGCGTTGGTGATGTGTTGTGCGGCTAGAGCTTTGTCATGGTCCGGTAGCCGGAGGTAGCATGTGGTGATGTCGTTGGGGTCCGATGCGGCCATGATGAGCCATGCCGCCATCACTTCATTGGACGCCATTGCGCTGTGATGAGGTCTGCGTGGTGACTGAGCTGTCTACTTCAGATGGGAAAGCAGTGGTGGGGGCAGGGGAAGGGAAACATATCAAGCACACTGTACAACACAAGAGGCAGCATGAGCTTCTCCGACGCTTCTTTTAGCTGTGTGGTCAGCAGTGGGTCTCAGGTCGGAGGACGTGGTCATTGTCTTAATGATCGGGATGGGTTGTGACTGGTGCTCCACTGTGTCCAAAGTCCGTTAGCCGCATGTAGTGGTAGTTGAGCAGGTATTCCCTGTTGTCGTTGAGCGCGTGGTGCATGATGTTCTGGATAGTTTGGTTGTGCTGCCGCATCCAATGTATCGTAGCTGTAGCAATGGGCTTGGGTCGCATCAGGATGGCCACCGCATCCTTGTAGTAGTTGATCATCAAGGTCGTGGCGAAGGTGCGATCACATTGGGCTTGTTGTTCCACTATGTCCCTGTGGTCATCTGAGTTGGTGAAGTTGTAGCTCTGTTGGCAGTACGACGCAATGTTCTTGAGGAGGGTGTACACTTCGCTGGGTGACATTCTGATGTTGAAATCGACTTCTTGGTGTACTTGCCACGTCCAAATCTGGTTGGTGATGGTGGTGTACTTGATGAAGTGCTGGAGATGTCGATGATGTAGAAATCGATGAGCGGCGCTGATGATCTTCCACGGTTGTAGAGGGAGGGTCGTAAGGAGCACGCCGTATATCTCGGATATGTCTGTGCCATCCGTCCATTGCGGATATGTGTCAGGAAACTCAACATGAGATTCGTGATACATCGGAGGTTCGATGTCGCCGGGGTCCGTGTACGTGTGAAGCATCGCACGTTCCTGTTGTCGGTCAATCGCTAAATGGAATGCGAACAGGTAGAAGTAGTTGAGTTGAGTCTGAATGATGTCGTCCAAAACTTGCGGGTCCACGTGGAACAGATGCTCGGCCGATTCGCCTATGTGAGGATATGGTTGGTCCGGTTGACGGAAGCGGAGCATGCATCGAGCAAGGTGTGCCATGTCCAGCTGGATTCTGTGCTCATCCTCGTGGATTGTCCATTG